CGCATCCGTGCCTCGGGGCTTCCGGAGGATTTTTCCTCAGAGATACGGGAAGCCGCGCGGTATGGGTCTGAGCTTATCACACGTCAGCTTCGCCCTCGACCCGAGTTTGCTTCATAAGGAAGGGGGGGTGTTACAGGCTGAGCCTGCACACGGTTCCCGTTTTGGGGGCCCAACGGTTGCTGGGGGCCCCCAGGCCGCACGCCCTTCGGACATGTGCCCTGGAGGCCCACGGACGTGAGTGAGTGTGTGTGTGTGTGTGTGTGTGCGTGTGTGTGTGTGTGTGTGTGTGTGTGTGTGTGTGTGTGTGTGTGTGTGAGAGAGAGAGAGAGAGAGAGAGAGAGAGAGAGAGAGAGAGAGAGAGAGAGAGAGAGAGAGAGAGAGAGAGAGAGAGAGAGAGAGAGGAGTGGGGGGCAGAAGGATGTCGGAGATGGTAAAGGAGCACGAGTGGCAGGTGAGGGGGAGTTGGAGATGGGCAAGCTTACCCCGGCGAAGCTGCCTAACACAGTGTGAGGCAGTGGCAGAGACTTGGAACGACTGCGACAGTTTGAATCACGGAGGCAAACTGCCGCGCCTATAGCCCTGGGTATTGTGCAAAGTTACGCACCTGGTATGGAGGGCAAACCGGGTAAAACAGGGTGCAGGCGCAGGCGCCAACGGCGCGGTCGAGATTGCAAATTTGCACACGCGCTTGACAGGGGCAAAACACAAAGAATTAGTCCCAAAAGGGCATCCCGCTCTACCCACATCTTTTTGGGGCATTTTGGCATACATCTCAACTTATAGGGGCATTTCACAAATTATCCAATAACTCTCAACAGAAAATGCTGCAGAGATTTCACATCTCCAGGGGCCAAGTTTTACTTGCAGCGTTGAGAATCTGGACATGTTTGTGGAGTTGTGCGGTTGAGGAAACTCAATGCGATTTCTGGACATCCCCAAAACAGGTTCAGATTCAAACTCAACGCTGCTAGTGGGACTTGGACCCTTCTGCACCACTCACCAGATGTGCAAAACGAGAGTGAACCTGCCTGAAGAATATGGAAAGATACACGGCCATGATGTTTTTGCCTTTTGTGCATTTGGTGAGTGGTGCGGGGAGGTTAGTTCTCTTGTGAGTCGTGCCCCTGTGCCTTGCCATTGCGGAGTTCGGGCCTTGCTCCCCCACTCACCACATGCACAAAAGACGACCATTATGGCACTGAATTTTTCCATGTTTCAGGATAAGATGCATTCTCATTTTGCACATTTGGTGAGTGCTGGAGCAAGGCCCTTTAGCGAACAGTCTGAGATAATGTGTATGGATGTGTGCTGTGTCAAAATTATGGATGTGTGCTGTGTCAAAATTATGGATGTGTGCTGTGTCAAAATTACGCTGTGGCCTCGCTTCGGCCGCTTGCGCTTGTCAAGTTATTGAGGTCAACAACTGCTGGGCATGTCCTCTCTCTCTCTCTCTCTCTCTCTCTCTCTCTCTCTCTCTCTCTCTCTCTCTCTCTCTCTCTCTCTCTCTCTCTTCTCTCTCTCTCTCTGTCTCTCTCTCTCTCTGTTGTCATATTCGCCATACACTCAGAAAAAGCATGACTATGCATGCTGCACCTGCCACACGGGCCCCATTCCGGGGGCCCGACGGTTGCTGAGGGGCCCCAGGCCGCGCGCCCATTGCAGGCACGTGAGCTGGAGGCCCACGGCCATTTTTCAGGCCTAGGCACGTTTGATGTGCCATCCAGGTTCCCTTTTTGTGTCAGCATTCATTTATGTATATTTGCTGGCCTTTTGTCTGTTCTATTTTTGTCTGCTTCAGGGCGCGAACAGACCAGTGTCTGTTCGGACCAAGGCGACGTTTTGGGGCTCTTGGGAGACCAGATACACGCCTGGGCCATTTTTGGCCAGGCTCGGGTTCGTCAGTAGCGGACAATCCCTGCTGCCTCAGCAGGAAGGCCTGGACGTCCGGTAGAAACCCAGGCAGGCCGTTTTTGGTCAGGACCAGAGGAGCAGGGCTTTTTCCTGCAATCTGGACCATGGATCGGACTCACGATCACGCAGCCCAGATTGCAGATCGTGGGCAGAACACCCAGGCGCAGCGCTACTTATAGCTAGGCCAGCCCAGCTCCTGGGGACACAGGAGTTTCCACTCCTCTTGGGCGACATGCTGCTGGAGCAGCGCGCGCCTTACAGCGCTGCACTATAGTTAGAGGTAGAGGTAGAGGTGTAGGAGGTAGGAGAGGTGAGGGAGAGGTGGTGGCCATACCTGTGAGGCGACGGAGGACCTACCTGGGCGCCATAGCTGGTCTTCTCGCCAGCGACCTGCAGCACAGAGGGACATCCCAGTTCGTCAGTATACCACAGCAGCTACCTGCCGGTGAGGTAGCGGAGAGGTAGACTTCTTCTTCTTCTCCCTGCTTTCATCCTCCATATCCTTCCTCTTCTTCTTCTTCCTCTTCTGTTTGCCTTCTTATTCTTCTTCTTCTTTCCAGAGAGAGAGAGAGAGAGAGAGAGAGAGAGA